GGAATTTCCAAGAATAGTGAGTATTTCATATGATCATATGAAAGTATTCACCATGACTATTTTAAAGAAAAGCAACAAGAATTTTCATTTCACTGTAAGACATTGCAATTAACCTTTTTTTCCCCCCTAAAAGTCCAACACGGATTTATTGGGTCAAAAAGGAAAATAGAATCATTCCTGTTATTAATAACTGATAACCAACATCTATATAAAAATAAATCACTGTATCAGTTGAATATGTTCCAAAAGGCAGCTGTTAGGAACATAAGAGACCTTCACCTCACTGCCTGACTTCTTCACTATTTCTAAAAGGTTTTCTGTTATTTAAATAAAGATGTAAGAAAACCATATTCTAAGGAAATATTTGCCTAATAGTCTATCTTCTCCACAACTTCTCTTTCCCCAAAAACTGCTACCACAAAATAAATAAGCAAACAAATAAATAAATGTACTTATTTTCTAAATTATGAAAAAATAAATAGAATTATAGTTACAGGTAAATTAATAGATATGCAGTTTTCTTATTAAATCACCACCCAAATGGATAGCAATGGACTCCAGGGAGTAGTGCTAATTGTAGGAATATGTCACATTAAAAGCAGAATACAGAAAGAGTTATTATGTGTCCTGTCAGAAGAGAACTAGTATTATGTACAAAAAGTGTGGCTGGATACAGAATTAAAAATTCTAACAAATATTGCTATACAAATCAAGGAAAAGTAAAAGTGTTCTAAAAAATGTGTGTGTATGTGGTGTGTGTGTGTGTGTGTGTGTGTGTATAAAACATTTTTTTCCTACTTCAGAAATCAAATCTAAACTCATCAACTTAAAGCCAAGTCCTGAGATGTCAACTGCATTTGCATCAAGGTACATTAGGTCTAGTCTCAGACTGGAGCTTTATTTCCTATGATATATCATTGTGGTTTTTGGTTTTACATCTGTAGCACTAACTTAACTTGCATTTGTTCCAAAATGAATTTCATGCTCAACTTGTTTTTCTTAATTAAACTTCCTTTAGCAGTTCCTAATATGTGTATTATTAAAACTCATTAGTCCCATTCACGCTTGCCTGTCATTTTCTGGCTACACATTCATATATTGAAGTGCTTCGTTGCTATATATAGGAAGAAAATTAAATAATAAATATGGGACTAGAACATTTTATGAGTGTCAGGATGAGAGAGTGCCTGCAAGGCCCATAAGGTTTCACACAAAAGAGGCATTACTGCTAAAGCCAACATGCTGACACATCTCTGATCTATAAAGTCTGTGGTAATGGCAGCAGTAAAGCGTTTTGCCATTGACTAGAATTTCTCTTACATGCAACGGAAATAGGCACAGAAGAGATTATATTGACTGTTATAAAAAGAATTCATATAAAAATCTCCCAAAAGTTTAGTGTCTAATAATTTCAAATGCCTGGAATGATTTACTAGTTTTCTCTGACTTCAGTTAAGCTTAGACTTGGCAGTCTTTCTCTTTCACAGAGATGTACTGCTAAATGGGAATGTGGGATTTCTGTTGTTGGAACTGCTTGTTCATTCCTTTTATTGTTTCCTTTGGGGGGGGGCAAGAGAGCACTAGAAATCAAAGTTAATGTGCATCATTTTATAGAAACACAGCAATATTTGACATTATCAACATGAGTTCACTGATAATAGAACCAAAGAAACCAAACAAAACTTGGTAGAATAAAAGAATCATTCCTCTTGGAAACAGTTGGGTATGTTGCTATCCTACAACATGAAGAGACTTGCTACTTCAAGATGCTTTAAATTATCCTTTAAAAAGCAACGAAAAAGATACCCTAGATTCACCATTAGCATTTGTTTATTTAATTTTTTTTGAATTTTACAAATTTGAAAGATCAAAATTCAAATTTTAAATTAATTGAAAAAATTGTTTAATGTCTCCACATATCCAAAGAGATGGAAGATTTGCACTTTGGGATTCCATATATATAAATTTCAACAAATCATTTTCAATAGAATTCCCTCCCACCCACCCCCAGATAGAATTTCCCTTATCGTTTTGTTTTCAATTAAGAGCACATGGTAACTTCATTAAAAATCAGTTAATGTAAAAATAGCATTCAATGTTGTTGATCGTCTCAACATCATAGAAGGAAACTGTAGTGAATGGACTAGCTGTTGCTGAACGTGAGGCCACTTAGAACCCATGGAAGGCTTTCACTGTCAAGTAAAGCTCCAGTGACATAACATCAGTTTTTCTATAGTGATAAGTCTTGGGAAAAACTAATGCCCTCTCTTGTCAATGATATTAGGAACTATGTTTGCAATTAGCAGGGCTAATTGAGAGCTTCTGTTCTTCTACCCCAAACTACCACATTTTGTGTTACTCTGAAGTATAAAATTAAAACAACCCATTGAAGCCACCATGTCCTGTTTAATAATTATAACTAAAAACATGCCTTGGAATAGGATAGAGCAAAATATAATTAATTTTCTAAGTGAGCTCTTCAGGTTTTTCAATAGTTCTTTAAGTGGTCTCCTCTATTAAATAGAGCATTTATCTAACTAACTAGGTAACTTGCTCTTCATTCACAGGCTACAGCTGTTAAAACTTTTGTGGTGGGTTGTTCTATAAATTAACATCCCCCCCACAGTTACTGGCCTTCTAAAGTGAATTTACAAGTTAAAGGTTGACCAAAGTTTTGGATAGGAACTGCTATAGAAACAGAGAATACAATTCTTCCAACTAGATGACACAAAAGAGTAGGTCAAACTTCCCCTCTTTCAATGGAACCATCAAAACAGAATGTAATGAAGGAGTAGAAACATCAATTGTTTCCCATAGAAAAATATTTTCTGGCTTCTAAAAAGTATGTTCAGTTAAGTCTTCCACTTTAACACTATGGTACATGTAACAATGCTACTTAGTGCTTTCAAAATATGCAAATTAACTTTAAGAGGATCTCCTTTTTCATGTTTCAAATTCTCCATAACTTTTATATTAATAGTTATATTCTTTTTAACTAAAAAAAAAAAAAGAAATTCCAGTTCACCTACCATTCACCTTCATTATTTATTTGCTATAATCATTTAATGTTCTTTGCTAGCTGCCTTTGGATTAGCTTAATCTTTGAAAAAAATACGTTAAATGCTATCAGGAATAGAATGTGTCTAGAATGTACCAAAACACAGAACATCCATTCTTCTAGGTTCAGTCTGCACAGGAACCACGTGACTGAGAGCAGAGCAAAAGAGAGGCAAAGCTGGCCTGGAAGATGTCTGCTTGAGACTGACAATTGGGCTTGTAGAAACCATTTCTTGCTATTTCTATAGTCTTTAGAAAATCTTACACAAAGTCTTCAGAAATAAGAAATAGCTAACTTCTCCCCTTTAGAATTCCTGGGAGACAAAAGTTTTATATTTTGCTATTTCATCCTGAAAATGCAAATTCCAGGTGCTTGCTTCAGAATTTGGTTTAAACACACACACACACACACACACACACACACACACACACACACACACACTTCAGGAGGAAAGTTTGGTGAGATTCATCTTTGAAAGCCAGAATGTCTGATATATCTGGAATTCCTGAAATAAGTGCTGGAGGATGAATGTGCTTCAGATGACATTGAAGAGTTGCCTTTCCATGAGTTTACTCATCATGGAGAGACTTCGAGGCTACAATCATAAAGGTGTCTGAATACATTTCACAATCTGTAAACAGAAACCTCTGGATAAACACTATGTTATTCTTCAAAAGGCTAAAACATACAAAGTATAGAATTTTATGCTTAACAATTATTTATCTTCATTTTATTCCAGTGCATTTGAATTCCTGATGGTTTAAAATTTTCAGAATTGACCTTAAATATATTTTTAAAAAGCCCAAGTAAAATAATGATGCTAAAGGGTCAAAGGATATAAAATGGGGGGGGGGGTTCATTAACCTATTTAACACATCTACATACACTATATATGTCTCTAAAATAAACCAGTTCTTTGTATACAATTGTTGTGAAGCTACGTGGACTCCAAAATTGGTGGATAGGAATCTGCTTTTTCAGATTTCGAAGCAACTTTTAGTTTCCTAAGTCGATTAATATTCACTCATTTGAGTGATTAATTTTAATTATAGCTGTTGAAATTGATTTCCTCTGCAAATAAAAACCAGCTTTCCTTGAGAGCTTCAAATTAAAAAAAAAAAAATTTAAGAAAAAAAAATCCCTCAATTCAGCTGCAAGAAAATATCCAGAAACGCGCGCGCACCGCTCAGTCGGAAAGAAAAGCCAGTAAGTGGCAAGGCAGGCAGGGCAGGGATGCATCAGAAATGCAGCCGGCTGCCTGGCGCACTCGCCTGCCTGGGCCCTGAGCAGAAAGGCTGCAAAGACCTCTAGGGCTCGTCCAACTCGAAGAAAGTTACCACGGACTGTATTATGGAAAGTCGTGCAAGTGAATTACAAGACGTGTGTGGCCAGTCACCCACTTGTACTGTCTCTATCCAATGCAGTGACCCTGTAACCCTTTAGTGTCTGATAAAGAAGGGGAGGAAGGAAGGAGTAGCAAGAAAGAAAAGGAGGAAGGACACATCATGAATAGGACCCATCCACCCCCACCCCTGCAAAATGCCCCTGGAAGCCGCGACAGTCACTGAAACCGCAGCCAAAGCGGCAGAGATTCCTACTCTGGTTTTCCCCTCTCCACCCGCAGGTTTTCCAAAGCACCGCCGCCTCCTCTCAAAGTATCACTGGGAGAAAGCACCGGATCCAGGAGGCATTTCCCAACTGAGAGATTTTTCAATGCAAAGTTGAGAGCTTGGAGGACTGCTTGGCTTCCCCACAGACGCCACCAAACAAGGTTTTCAAGCTCCATCTAGGTAGCTCCCTAGCGATCCCCCGGAGATGCGCGAGGTGGCTTTACATCTCTCCCCTGCTCGCCCCATTTCACAGGCATCGCGTCCGCATCACCTTCCGCGCGTGGCACACCAACCCAGGCAGCCCCCTCCCAATGAAAGAGCCACAAACTTACCCTCAGCCAGACAAATCCACAGAGGGAGCCCCCTCATCTTCCCCCGGTCCCCTTCCAATCATTCAAGGAGACAGTTTCTACAACACTTCGCCGTCAAATTCAAGCCGAAATGGTCAAAGTATTTACCAGTTTTAGACGCTTTATTTTGGAATCTCGAGCACCCGATAATTCTTGTTTCAGGATTCAAGATGCTTCTTCTTTTTTTTTTTTTCTTTAAGCAGCCGCAACCCCAGTTTTGCGCCCCCCCCCTCCTTTTTATTCACCCACGGACACTTCCAAAACGTGTCGATTGATCCTTTTTTCTTTCCAAATGCAACCACGATCCAGAATCCTGGGCACCCAAAGCCACCTCCATGTAAATCCGACCATCAGGCAAGAAATACAAATGATCAAACCAACGTTACTTCTTTCAGCTGCAATCAGATAATCCTACTAATCCAATAGATTTATCTCGATTGGAAATTGACCTCAAAAATGAATTCCCAAAGCCGATGTCCAGTAGAACGATTTCATAGCCCTGTGAGGGTGACCGAAAACACTGTGGTTTCTTTCTTTCTTTTTTTAAAAAAATCTTTTTGGATTCTGGGTGCACTGCTCGCAAAAAATGCCGAGGACCCTGGTTTTCCCCTAATATAGGTTTCTACTCCAAATCGGTGCAGAATGAAAAATGGTACAAAGATACCCCTAGTGGCTCTAGGCGATATTGCAGGGATCTTAGTTTTTTTCTTTTTCTCACCCCTCTCCTCACCGTTTTATTCCCACCCACCCCCCCAGATAACTAGATGCTGTAGTAGTTAAAAAAAAAAAAGACTGAACCAAGATTTACATGAATAGCGTGACTGCTTGAATAAATCATCTGACCTTTCTCCATTGTTTTATGCTTAAAGATTGAGACTCTTGTGCTTCCTTCCATCTCCTCTGTATTCAAACATTTCTCCAATGGCATTTAATAGCTAAAATGACACTTTGTGGCAGGTCAGTGATTTCAAAGCAAATATATTTGTTTTCTTAATAACTAAAGTTATCAATAAAGCCTTAGCCTTCCTGAGATAGATTGATTTTAGAAAAATCCTTAACTTTTTTTTTAAGGAATATGATTATGGATATACATTTTTAGATTTTTTTCTTATTCTGGGCCTTTGATGTTCATTCAGAAAAGGATCCAATGACTTTTGTGAGCTTGTGGTCAAAGGACAAGACCTAAATACCACTCTATAGGTTTTCCTGTTGCTTAACTGAATCCTTTAGAATTCAGTGACCTCAAGATTACCACTAGGATTTTTGACAGGTTTCAAAGAAAAAGAATCAATGCCATGAATTTCAGGGCTCTGTTGCTAAGCAGTGTATTACACACTTTCACCAACAGTGCCTACCCTTAAGACTCTAATTCTGTGGGACCAAGAATAGGCCAAGTTTCTGCATTTCTAACAAGCCCTCTGAGCACGCTTTCATTATCAAGGGCCTAGTAAAATAGAAAAGTTCAATTCACTTTCATGCTGATGGGTTCTGTAGCTGCAAAAACTGGAAAGTCTTTCTTAACTGACTAAATAATTAAGCTTTTTAGTGTATGAACTATTAAAGAGTCATGAGACTTTCCTTTTACCACTGTTTTTTCTATTAATTGGCTATGTGACTTTGAGAAGTCACCTTTTGGCCTATGGTTAATTTATCTATTAAAATTCAAAATAAATCAACAACTCTGCATGATCCTGGATGGAGGACTCAAAATGGTAAATTAATCTGTAATACTAATGTAATCATTATTAAAATCCCTCTCCAGCTTTTCATGAAACTTGAAAAGTTAATTCTAAAATGTTTTTGCAATAGCAAATGGTAAAAAATTGTCAATATTCTCCGAAGAACAAGGTTCATGGAGTTTCCATATGAACTATTAAGGCTTAATGCAAAATGACAGTAATTAAGGCAATGTAGCTTTGGTTCAGAGAGAGAAATTTGTCCAAAAGAACAGAATAGAAAGCCTAGAAATATACATGCGTTATTGGAAACTTGATAAATAACAGGTGGCATTATAGAGCAGTGAAGACAGTTTAGTTATTCAGAAAACAGACTATGCATGTGAAAAAAATGGTTACAGTAGATTTTAACTTCATGTCACACATATGTATTTAAAGGGCTTAAAGATACAGTGAAAAATTTTATAACTTTATAATTTGGGGTCAATGGGAAGAGAATAGTTTATTAAACAAGGCAGAAAAACCAAAGTCATACAGGAAAAATGTTAAATTTGATGTATAAAATAAAACATATTAAAAATCAATCTATAGAATGAGAGGAGATATTTACAATGCATATAACTAAAGAAAGATTAGTATCCAAAGTATGTAAAGGTTTCTAATAAATCTAAAAGACAGGACAGGAAAAATGAGCTGAGGAAATGATCAATTGGTTGGCAGAAGAGAATTTTTATTGTCTAATAACTATTTGAAAGGCACTTATCCTCCCTAGTTATTAGAGAAATACAGGGCAAAATGCTGAGATCTCATTTCATAGACATGAAATTGGCAAAATGTTACAAATCTAGCAATACCAGATGTTGATGAGGATGTGAAGAAACCATGGAGAATGTGACAGTTAAAAGTACAAAGTCTTTAGAAAGCAATTTAGAAAGACTTGAAGATTCTCATATCCTAAAATATAGTCTTCCCAGTCCTAGAAATACCCATTGAAAAATTACTTGAAAGAGCAAAGAAATGGAAGTGATCTAAATACCTCTGGATAAACAAGTAGACAAGGAATTCATAAAATATTCACATGTTGAAATAATAGAAGCAGCAGGGAGAAAAATGAAAGCATCATGGCTATTTGAGTTAGTATAGATAAGTTTCAAAAATATCATGTGGACAATAAAAGAAGAATGCTGCAGAAAGACATTTGTGGGATGATACCATGTATATATAAAGTTTGAAAATATGCAGAATAATTATATCAATCAATTTCAATCACATTCCTATGCAACAAAAAAGTATCAACATGCATGAGAACTATAAACCTCAAATTCAGGGGAGAGATTGCCCCTGGGAAGGATTGGGGTTTGGGTTAATGGAATTGATAAGGTAACCAGGGTTGCTCCTCTTGAATCCACAGAGCTTTATTTCTTCAGGTGAATCCTGAACACATGTGGCTATACTACTACTATGTAAATTGTTTGTATGCCTAAAATATTTCTTTAAAATAAAAGACTTAGATGATTTCTCTGAACCCTTATAGTATTATAAACATTTCTAATTAGAATAAGTAAATGTAGATGTGAAAAAATAGCATTGGAATTCAGAATTTCATAACACATTTTAGAGAGAGATTTTAGAAATGAAATGGCAGCATTTTGTATTTCAAGAAGTAAAAATGAATTGCTGCTTATTTATTTCTATAATGAGTATTAGAATTTCCAGCTTGAAAGCAAAATTCACCACCTAAATGAGAAAAATGTGGCTGAAATAGGAAAAAAAAATAACCCTCCACTAGCTCTTTCTTGTATTTTTCCTTTGATCTCATAAATAGTAATAGGGTCTCTGAAACTGTGAAACAGGCCATCGATTGATCATGTTCAGTCTGACCAGTTAACTAGAAACCACCAAAAGCAGAGTAGCCCGAAGCCAAATTACAATACAAAGAAAATTCTTCTTCGAAGAATACTGAAAACACATATATGCATTCAAATAGGGGGAAGTTGTTGATGTGAATTATGAGAACTAGAAATCTCATTTTAAAGTCACTAGATATTATTTTTCACAATCTGTGAAAAATAGAAGATACCAAATATTAGGAAAGATGTTTTTTAGAACCCCAACTTGGAAGTACAGAGAGCTATTAATACCATCAACTCACACTAGACTCAGGAAAGACCCCTAGTTAATTGCCAAACAAAATTTTATCCATTCAGAACAGAATTTCTTGGAAATAATCATTGTAGTTTTGTACTAAGGAAACAGCAAGATTACAACTTCATTTCCTTTGATAGAATAGACAAGGAGGAAGAAGTAAACATAATGTTTTGGAAATTTGAAGAGGCTGACATAACCACAACAACCACTTATTGACTACCTCCTGCATACTAGACACAGACAAAAACATGTCATGAATTCCTTAATTTCCATTGATAATTGATTATAAATGCTCATTGTTACTATTCTGTGTTTATACTTGAGCATCTGTAATGTACAGATATTAGATATTGATAGAGAACTGAAGGTTCATTTTCAGTGTGTTTGAGTTCAAGCTGGCTAAACAGGATAAGATAGTCAAAGAAGGTAGACAAGTAAAAGAAAGAGAAGAAGGAAGATGGGAGAGGCAGAAGAAAGAAGGTTAAGGCTAAAAAGATGCATCAAGTTCTTTGTCTCCCTGGTATATGCCTCATGATACAAATGATTAGTGAATGATGACTTAATACAATCAAAGAATGGGAACGGTTAGTATATAAAGAAAACAAATTCATCCTCCATATTGGATGGGTTTGCTAATATTCTCAGAAAATGAAATTAACCAAGGAAGCTAAAAACTAACTATGACTAATAGTGGGAAATGAAAAATCAAGATTGGCAAACCTATGCACTGTGGGGAATTTCAAATTGACTATGTCACTAAAATTTTAGCTCTGATAAAACCTCATTTATTTTTATACCAAATGGAGAATGATTAATTGATTAATACCAAATGGATAATGTGAATAAATAAACAGCATGTTTTTACAGATAAATAGAGAGCAAATGTTTAATTGCTTCTTTTAATACAAAGAAGTTGTTATTTAAAGAGATATTTTGTGGGTTTTTTTCCCAAATAAGTGATATAAATGTACTTCATAAAGGACATATATTTATATGAATTAAGTTCTAGCTGGTAGCAAATATTTTAGGATGTTATAAAAGACTGATGCTCAATGTCTGTATAAAATGAAATAAGTTGCAAAATTCTGTAAAAAAAGATAACTAAAGCAAAAACAGTGTTCCTTTACCATCTTCAGAACTCCCCAGATATAAATTCATATTAAGTCCTCAAGACTTGAATCTAAATGAATGGCAACTGGGAATTATAAAAGGCATAAAAATAAAAAGTGTTGCAATATTACACAGCCTAACTATTGCAAAGGTGGCTGTTTTGAGGAGGTTCTTTCTACAGGGAAGAATCTGCTCACACAATCCTGCTTAATTAGAAAAGACTACTTAAAGCACTTGACTGATACTGAATATTTCAGGTATGTACTGGAAGAACACACCTGCTTGGATGCTAAATATATCAGATGCATCTTTATATTCCATGGATTGAAGACTGGTAATGGAAACCAAAGAAGTAATGATCAAGACTAGACATTTTAGGATGAGACTGCCATATCTA